AGCATCCTGATACTGAATGGTAGTTTAGTGCAGTCATACCATTATATACCACTGAATGGGCTGTCAATGCAAGACTAATCTGAACGAGCAGCCCGCTCACGTTTTCTATAAAAGTCGCAATCTTAGGTCGGATCTGGTAACATTTTTTGCATCACTTTCAACTTTTCAGCTGCACGCAGTCACAATAATGTATTTTGAGTTGTGTGCAGTGATTTGGGAAGACTTTCTCCACATTTCAGCATCACTATTAGTCTATAAACATCACAGAAATGCTAAAGATACAGTTTGCTGCCACAGTTCCAAAACACCTTTCTCATTCACTTTGCAGTACGATTTCACATCTACTACAAACTGAAATGTCTTTTTTTGAGATGAAGACAGAAGCTGCAGCAGGTCAGATTAAGGAGACTCACCAATAATGAATGCAATCTATGAAATTTAGTTTGTTGTGTCCAGCTATTTTAATCAAACATCTGCAGCAGCAAACAGCAGTAGGATTCATATGAGCATCTCCAAAGAGACAGCTGCATGCATTTAAGCATGTGGAATGCCATCCTTAACTATTATAATTATAAATTTTCCTTAAAATGAAGTCTGAACCAATCAGGACGTATTCGAAACTGACACTCTGAAATTTTGTTCATCTCAGACAGGTGTATTGTCACTCACAGTCACACTTCTTAGCTTCACCTAAATAATTTCTTACATTGTAGATTAAAATTTTGTTTTTTGTTTATTAGTTCATTATTATTCATTATACATCACTCCATGGTCTGTCCAGTCTCGCATGTCTGACAAACATAGCAAGTGCAGTAGTTCTCTCTATTATTACTGATTTTTACATACCGTAATTTTTGGAAGATAGAAATTTTTTTAAATAAGTTCTGATGTAGTAAACTTTTAACGCACACGTTTCACTTTTACATTGTTGTCACATCGAGTCAGCATGAAACACAGCCCAAATTAGCTGGCATGAAAAAAAAAAAGAATACAAGTTGCTTGATTAAAAATAATTTCTAACAACCTCTCTCCATGTTTCTCTGATAGATGGCCAGATGGCAAGTTTGGTTTGTTTTATTTTTTTTATTCAGTGTGTTATAGTGGCTGGCAAACTGGTTTTGTTTCAGATTTCTCCTATTCTGTTTATAACAGCCATCCGTAACGCAGCCTCAACCACAACCTTCTGATGGTACTACACAACACAGTTCACTCACTCCAAAGAAGGTAATGGAAACAAGCCTAATTCAAATTTTTGATCCAAATAACATTTCCAAAGGTTGCGTCAAATGGGTGTGGATGTATCTAAATAAATCTATGTGGAATATTGATGCAAAAATTGACCGATGACTGAATGACAGAATACCACCACTTTAACGGATTAATAAAGGATCAATGTTGCGTTTTTCATGTCTGAAAAGAACTTGTGCTTGTTGGAAGCATTTTTTTTCAAAGTATTTTATGGAGTATATTTCCACTTTTAGTTTTGGCTGGGCTAGCAGCTACTAGCTGCACAGAGCTGTTCCTAGTCGTAGATGCTAGATACAGTAGATTTTGGGGGGGAAGCCAAAATGCAGTTTTTTTGTCTCCAAAGCAAAATATTAATTCTACAGAAAAGAACAGAATGTCTGCTGCTTTGGTTATGCCTCTGTTCTACGAAATAAATATTTTGCTTGCCAGAGGTTGTCTCCATACACTTCCAGGATAGTGACACATCTTCCTTTTATAATCCTAACAACCCCCAAGATAAGGTCTGACAGCAGAAACAGCAAGGCACGCGAATGACAACAAAGCTGAGTCCTTAACTTTGCAGATATGGGATGGGATTCAGGTAAGTAAATGGCATGCAGGTTCTGCAGGTGGATAGGTGGAGTAACTTTACAGTCCTGGCATCCACCAAGGTATCCGCTTAATATCATCTCATTGTGATTAGGGAACAAGCATTGCCGGAGCAGTATTTTGTTAAGGCCAAACCAACGGCTTGTGCAGCTGCGTGTTGCCGAGCGTGGAGCGCTGCATGTTATCCAGGTCAGAGTGATCTAATCAGGTGTGAATGAAAGCACTTGGCCGCACTCCAGGCTCTGCTATGCCGTCATCACTCAGGGTGAAGAGAAACACACACATATACACATGCAGCTTTGTCTTACTCGACTTGTAAGACACCTCAACTCAAAAAATCGTCTCTTAAGGTAGCACACACTTTGACAGATCAAACCTGAAGACATCTCTGGAGTCAGTGTCATGCTAATAGAATCACCACAAAGTTACAGATTAGGTCATCAAAATTTTACATTCTTTCATATTACTCAGCAGCAAACTGTTTGAGGCGTCTAATGGTCATGAAAATACTGCGCAGAAGTTTCTGGAAATTACTTGGCCGCTGATATATGTATGCAATAGCCAACATGGTTTATTTTAGTGAGAGCAAGGAAGAAATTTGTTGATACTGATTTCTGTTTTGTGCAATGAAAACACCAGGAGATGCATTATGCTGTTCAACCATAGTAAACATGAAATGAGAGAACTGTATACTAAACTGTAGCCCTGGATTTTGGGGAAAATTATCATCCTTATTATTAATCTCATCCTTTATGATGCTTGTTTGGACAGCCTTTACATTTGGACAAGTTCACTTTGAACAGGACACGATTTGTTATCAAGTGGCAACTTCTGTCCTTAAAAACTGAAGCCAATAAATAAATGTCACAAAATGCAGTCCATCAAATGACCACTCCACTTGCGGCTGACTTCAAAAGTGAGTCAATCCCCATAGATCCCCATGTTTAAAATGCCCAACTTTATAGAAGACATAAACATGTTTACAGCCTGCTACAAAAATGGGTTTGGTCTCTATAGCAAATTTCCTCATTCATGATGACTGCGCAGGGAGCGACTTTTAATCAACTCACCCGCTTAAACTGTATAAAGGCTTAAGGTTGTGCATAATTAGGAGGGTGACCACTTTGAGTGAAAGATGTTTACCATTAGAGATCATCCATAGCCTGGAGTCTTTGCTAATCTTTAGATTAGCCAGGAGTTAGAAAGAGTCAGGCACTGCCAAGATGGTGACAACTGGAGCCACCACGCCAAGCTTCAAAACCAGCGGTTCACTTAAATGAATAAAGGTCAGTAAATAAGCTTTATGTAATATCAGCAGTGACAGCACTCTACACAAGAAAAACAATCTTTAAAAGTTACAAGAAATGTTTTATATATAAACCATAAAAAAAACATTTTGAAAGGGGAAAAATACAGCAAAAAGGTGTTTGGGTCTTAACTCCGTTTTGATCCATGACTGCATTTTGGGTTTGTAGGTTATGGTAGCTTAATTACTTTTTGATTTCAAATATTTTCCTACTGGAACACGTGCTGCTGTTTTGTAACTTAGTTTAGCAAAGATCTGAGCAAATAGTGCTTAAAGAGTTAAGTATTTCCTGAAACTGACCTAACCCACCTGTGTGATATTGTGGTGCTTTGAGGATGGTGTACAGGTGGGAGGCACAAACAGGTGAGAGGTTCATTCAGATGAGGCACTGCAAACCAGGTTATTGGGGTTTGTGGAAAATAGACATTGCACTAAGAACAGACATCCAAGAACCACATCTGTTTCTGTCACTTTGCTTCCACTTTGATGATTTTATCAACAAGAGCAAATTGAATACTTACAGCAGGGGTGCGGAGCAGAAACAACAGAGCCATGCTTAAAATTTATATCTGCTATTTTAATTACATCCTCCTCCACTAATACATGTGTTTGAATCGACTTAAAAAAAAAACTTTTATGTGGATAAAGCAGGAACTGTGGAAAGTCAGTGGGAATGTATTCATTAACTAAAGAGTGTGATCCTTACAGTATCTGTTGTCCACGCTGCTTTATAGTGCATGAAAAGCTTCCTCAGTTCATGAAATCCCTGAAGCCATCTAAAGGCAGCACATATGTCAATAAGTCTGCAGCCTCCAATTTGATAAGTGCCGCGCCAGAGCACAGTGCCATTACGCATGAGCGTCCACTCTGTTTACCTACGCTGCTGCTACAAAACAACCACACACACCTCTACATGCTTCCGATCAGTTGGTTAGAACTCGTTAATCTGCCTGTTTATGCAGGAGACATCGGATTATCAGGGCTCATTAATGCCATGCGTCATGACCTCCTTTCCATATTTTGCATTTTTTTTCAACCTTTGATATTTTGCTCTTGAAATGCATTTCATTACAAACGGTGTATTTACAATATGAGACAGAGTGAAAATAATTTATCTCAGCGAGCTGCAGAACAGTCAGACAAAGACGCTACATATTGGATTGAACTAATTACTACTTTCACAAATTTGCAAGCTATATTTCTGTTTAATCAGTTGGTTAATCGTTTGGTTTGTAGATTTTATTTATTTTATTTTTTTTAATTGTAAGATATTTATTTCATGATGATTTAAAATTTGGAAATGCAGCAAACTCTCTTAACAGAATCAATAAGAGCTCTGCCTTTTTAGCTTAATAGCTGACGAATAATTTATTTTTTTGTATAATTAGAATCCAAAATGTACATGGGTGAATCGCAGACCTCAAACTATCAGTCTACGTAAGTTTCATGGACACAAACCAATTACTTGTATATTTCTTTTTCTTCCTTTTTCTTTTTTTTGGAAAAAGACAAATTCTCAGCTGTGATGCACACATACTTCCATACAGTCCAACCACAGCCGCACAAAACTCTCAGGATGTTGTCCTCCCCCCACCTCCCCCAGCAGTGTCACTCAAACTCCACCCAGAGCAGCAACCATTCAATAGGGAAGCCTTCTGCTTTCAATGGTCTGAGTTTAGACCAATCACAGCACCCCCCACCCCCCTCTGCTCCCAGGCCTCAAGCCAATCACAGCAGCACTCGCTCTACACATGACTCTATGTGCTGCTGTCCATCAACTGCCTCATATATAGTGCATGCAAGAAAATGTGGAGCAGTTCAATAACTAGCGTCGTAGCCAGGCTTCTGTGTCTGTGTGTGTGTGTGTGCATGTGTGTGTATATATGTGTGTGTGTGTGTGTGTGTGGTGGGGGGGGCCATGCATGTGGGAATGCGTGTGCTTGTTTATCTATGTAGAAGCACGGAAGGAGCAGGAGGTAGGGAGGGCGAGAAAGAGAGAGAGAGAGAGAGAGAAAGAGAAAGAGAGAGACAGATTTGTAAGGCACTTGTATTTGCAAACTACTGGCCGAGTTCCCACTAGAGGCAGAGAGATCAGACTGAAAGACTGTGTGTCAGGATTGTGTGTCTGCGAGTGTGTGTTTGTGTGCGTGTCTGGGAAAGACACAGAGAGACGGGCAGACAGTGAGAGAGAAAGAAACCCGTTCAACCCATTTCAGAGACAACTTTTCATCCTGTGTACATGAGGTTTCTCCCTAAATATGGAAGCTTTTCACTCTCTTGTGTTTGATCTTTTTGTCCTACCATCCAGCCATCACAGTTCCATGCTGCTCAACTTTTGGCCGCACTTTAGGTAAGTATTTAACTGCTTGTTCTTCCCGGCGTCTAATTGAAACACTTGTCTTTAGCACTTTTCAGTTCATAGATTAAATTTAAAACTACAGCATGACTCATTTGAAAAAAAAAAAAAAAAAACAGGAACAAGTAGTGTTTTTACAAATGTTAATTGATAATACTATGTTTCCATTTTCACTGAAAGCAGGGGTTTTGATTTGGTCGTGGTGTGTGTGAGAGGTTGTGCTCAGTACAGTTTGTTTAAAACTGTGTGTGAAACCAGACAGACGCTCTGTGTGTGGGAGAGTTTTGAAAGGTGTGAGAGAGAGAGAGAGATTGTGTGCGCCGGACAAAGTGTGCCATGTGTAAAAAGTGTAAATGTGTGTGTGCTTGCGTGTCTGTGCATGTGTGTGTGTGTGTGTGTTTTTTTCTAAAGCTTGCTCTGTGGGAATGCGGACTGCGGTAGCCAGTAGCGATGTTTGACTGGGGAGGAACTGAGCCAGACAGTAGACAAAAGCGAGCAGGGCCGTCCAGACAGGGCAGGTCAGCCATTAGAGGCTGCAGTGGAGGGACAGGTCAGCCAGCTGCTGCTCCACGAAGGGAGGGGACGCCCCAGCCTTCAGCATTGGGGTGAGGGTTGGAGTTGGGGCTGGGGTTAGAGGGTGACCATGCTTCTCTTCATGACTGCCTCTCTCAAAGTGCTCACCTTGCAAGTCTCCCACTTTGAGAAACCCCAGCATGCATTGCAGGTCTAAAGTGAGGCAGTTGAGGTATTGGTTGAATGAGCTAAAAATAATTTCCCCTGCATCATTGTGAAAATCTGTCAGCACTGGTTTGTGAACATTTTTTGCTCAGTGCCTTTTTATTTGAATTAGATGTCAACAACTTGTCAGTATTAACAAAACCTACTAAGGTGAAGGACATAAACGTAGCAAAGAACATGTAAATGTAGGAGGAGGTTAAATATAGACGCCAACAAAAGAGGAAGAATAGGAGAAACTGCCATTTTCACAAAGGTTGTTTTTTTCTATTCCCTTTTTCGTTGGTTTTCCCCATCGGCTCGCATGGGGGTGGCTGAGTTTGGAATGTATTCGGCAACAGGAAATGCTGGCCGTCCTCATGCATGTATAGATATTTTTTTGGTCCCAGTCTGATTTTGTACAAAGCTCTTAATCCACTGCAAAAAGCTGTGTGCATGAGGGAGTAGCAACAACTGACAAAGACATCTACCCGGATCACAGATGTACACCATGGCTGCTGCTGCAACTGCTTCACAAAAACACATTCACGGGCACCACATAGGCTTAACACCAGGACAAACAGACAACACACACACACACACACACACACACAAACAAACAAGGCTGGGTTAATATCTGAGCACTGACGATGACATGGAGGAAGAGGAAAACAGTTCTCTGAAGCCATAAACAGCTGCTACAGGAAGAAAAAAAGGGGGGAAAAAGTGTCATTGCTTTAGGACAAAAAAAAAATACACAAAAAACTCAACAGGAAAAAAAATGGTTCTGGCTACAGTCTGGAAAACATTATTCTTTTTCTAAAGTGTGTCTGTCATGCAGCGCATCAGAGGCTTATAGGCTAAAAGCAGGGTTCAAGTCATTCCCTGAAATGCCTGTACGTGTAGAGTCTTGTTACCCAGATACACATCTCAGCCCTCACCACTGGCAATGGCTGGCACTGAAGTCATACACTACATAACTCCAATCAGCTCAGCCTTTTAGGCTGTCACTGAAACACAGGCCACCAAACTCTGCTATTCAGCCTACATGCAGATGCTAATGCAGCGCTGTTTTGTCTCCTACTGAGGGAACAAAACAATGTTCTTACAAAATCAGGAGGCGCACAAAATACCTGTAATCTTTTAACAACCAGCAAAGTCCCGTGTTGACAAAATGATAATACTTGGACTTTGTGGAGTGAACTTGACTATTTTTTTGTCCCCAACATGGCTGTGCAGCACTTTGGAAACCTTGGTAGTTTTGTGAAGTTCAGTATCAGTCGTTGATCGGCTGGTCAGTTCAGAGAAGGCAGCAGTTGTGTAAGTGGCTCCTGTGACCCCTGCACCTCAGCTCGGGCCAGGCCAGGGCTGGATGGACTTTGGTCCCAGGCTTGGAGCTGTGTAAGCCCCTCTGTGCCACTTGCTCCCACCCAGGCCTGTGTGTGTACCTGGATTTGAATAGAAACCAGACAGCGATGCCCCCCTCCTCCTCCTCTGTCCCCACTCCCGCGTGGGACAATGAGGATTTGTTAGTGCTCAGCCGCGAGCCTGCTGACACAAAGCATATAGCCTCCCAGTCCCCAGCCCCGGAGTGTAGCAAGCTGAAGCACAGGCAGGCAGGACACCAGCAGGGGGGCCCGGGGTGGGGGTTGGAGGAGGGGGGAAAGGGGGGGCAGTTTGCAGGGGTGGGATTAGCAGACAAGAGCTCTGAGTTGGGGGATGGGGGCCTGAAATGAACAGGAAATTACTGCCTTTGATGAGGCGGAGGCAGATTCGCACAGGCTGAACTCCTCCAGGCCTCTTCCCCTGGCCGTAAAAAAACCTGTTTGAGCAGAAAATGTCAAAACACTTCAAGGCCCCCGTGTGTCACTTCCCTCTGGCTATGATGGAGTTGTTAAGTCCATACACAGGTGCTAAGCAAACACTCGCAAAAGTTTGAGAATTTGTTTTTACCCTTCACCACCGCTTCTTGCTCCCCTTTCCCCGGCCTTCCCCTTCCCTTCCTCTTCCTCCCTTCAGACGCCAGCCCCTGACCATGTCATGGGAATCCTATTGAACTTGGTGTCCGTCCGACCCATTTTCACCCACTGAAGAATCACAGTTCAGTCCACATCGCACTGCAGAGAAACCACAGACCCCGGCATTTATATTTAGCCTTCCACATAAATATTTCAAACCCGATGAGGGCGTGGAGAATACTGTAAATATGCTGGTCCTTACATCAAAGGAAGAGGAGATGGAGAGATAAATGCAACTGTAAGATCCGGATTTCTTATGCTTTCAGTGAATTGTAATTTGTCTTGGTTAAGTACAAAAACCATAAATTGGCCTGCCAGCTTACCCAACATGATCATTGCTGGGGCCTTAAGCCACTCAAACCGCAGGAGGAGTGGGCACTGTCTCAGCCTCCTTTTTACGAGTTTGTTTCCTGCCTCTTTCACAATTAATTATTATTCAGCGTCTTACAAGAGAATTGCATTCTTTCCACCGACACCCACTACAGTTGAATGTCTTAAACGTCTCAGATAGAGAGCTCCCTTCATGTTGTGCGTGTGTGTTTGCGTTCCGGAGCGTGAGAGGAGATGGTAATGTGTGTTCAGTGAATATCAGGGTCGATTAGAGAGCCTCGTCTGGTCGGGCTACAGCAGATTAGACAGGCGGAGCAGATACAGGCCGCGGGCTGGTCGTCTGGCGCTCTGACCCACATTGCTCTGATGTGCACGTCACTTCCCATTACACTGACAATTGGACGCTGCATCAGCTGAGCGCTCCATGATCTGCATACCCTCCCCACGGGCGAGGCCTCGCTCCCCGTAACCTCATGCTGTCATACGCCAACCTTGGCCGTCCCACCGTTTGGCTAAAGGAAGTGTTGGATGAGTCACAGTGAGGCATCGCCATTCAGCTCTTCGTCGTAACTGTGTGGGTGTTAGGTTTGGCACGCTAGCAGAATTCTGACCTTGACGCTAATATACTCAAATCTAAGCTTCAGGATGTCAAGTCAAATGAATTGAAGCTTGTGACGGAGCATCCTCTGTGCTTTATTTATAGTCCAAAGCAGCACACAGTGATATCAACATCAGTTCTCTGTATTAAGGGCTGTCCTTTTAAGCAGCAGTGTCCGCCTGCCATCTTTAACCAGCACTCCACACATCCCTGCCCTCTGCAGGTGATGCTGAATGGGAATTTAAGCTTTTGGTGAAACTGCAGAACAGTTTCAATATTGAATGTAATCCTGTATTTAATCTCTCAATGTGACATTTAAGTTAGCACGTAGACCAAAAATACATGTACCAAGCCAGCCTGTCACTGGTGCGCCAGTGCATGCATACTTGTGTATAAAAAGAGTAAGAGGCCTCAGTGGCGGTTCTGCAGCTGGCTGACAGAGACAGGTCTGTTTGCAGGCTGCCTGAAAGATAATTGGCAGCTATGGAGTGAAAAGCGGGCTCAGCAACAGATAAGGGCTGTGTGGAAAGCTCCATAATCAGCACGGATTAGCAACTGATAAATCATGGGTTCACACAAGTATGCTGTCACTGCTGGAAGAGCTGGAGAGAGAGGTAGGAAGAAGAGAGCGTATGTGGAGAGATATGGAAAGAGTGGGATAGAAAGCATGTGAGAGGGACAGAGGACAGTGAATAGCAGGGAAGATGTGGATGTTTTTGCTGTAATTCTAAAGAAAAAAACACAATATTACCATCTAGCAGGTCAGCAGGAAAGGCAGGCTGAGAGGGGGAAATGAAAAAAGAGGAGAAATTAAAAGCTCTGCCAACACTCCAGCTAATACAATCTTCTGCCTGTCAGATTACCTTCTTTAATCCAGAAAGGTTTAACGCCTCTTAGAAATCTGAAAGGAGACATGAATTCAGCAGAGATTTTCCTCTGCTAGAGAGGGGGAAGGTGCCAGGGAGGAGGGTTAAGTCTCTGAGCAACTCTCCAAAGCACTGGCCTCAACAACTGTGCTGCACAGTCGTCAAACTGCTATGCAGAGGATCAGCCAATTCAAACGGCCGCAATGTTCGACTCAAACATACCCGACTTATACCAGAGTGTTCGTCTACCATCGAGAATCGTGTATTTATACATTTCTAAAAATATCATAAACAAACGCCATGTGTTTCACCTACAGCGGTGTGAACGGTCACTTGTCTTTCAGAAAATACAGTAGGGCGAAAAGACAAGCTTAACTTTGGCTTAGGCGGAGCTGATCAGGTCAACAAAGCACAAAGCGCGATACAGCGCATTAAGGACACAGTGTCCCTGCTGGTGCGATGCAGCAA